GAAATCAAGAGTCATGTAACAATTGAAGTCAAACTCCTGAGACGTCTTCTCAGGACTGTGGACTCACCAGATTGAACAGTTTGAGCAGTGGGAGGAACTCAGGGTTATCGTAGTCCTCCAGGTGAAACTCCCAGAACCATCACACAGAAAGAAAACACAAGCTTCATCATTACTGCTCCTCTTCCTCATGGTGTGACATGAGCAGAGTTGAGGCCAAGTGTCGTGATTGTGTGTGTATTAATAACTTACAGTCTTCAAGAGTTTCCTGTAGGTGTCCAAAGATGGGGCATTGCAGATGTGAGATGGGAGAGAGTTCCAGAGGGTGGGGGCGGCCAAGCTTAACGCTCTGTCACCAAAAGTTTGCAGGCTGGTGCGTGGGGTAGAGAGCAGACCCAAGTCTGAGGACCGCAGGTTCAGGGATGGGTGATGAGGGCAGAGGAGGTCAGACAGGTACTGGGGGGCAAGCCCATGGAGGGAGTTGTAGGTTAGGAGTAGGATTATGAAATGGATGCGGGACTTGACAGGAAGCCAGTGAAGTTGGATGAGGGTGGGGTGGTGGGGTGGGGGTGGTTATGAAGGCATGGATAAGGGTCTCTGCCACGGAGTCAGAGAGCGATGGCCGGAGTCTGGAGATATTTTTGAGGTGGTAGAAAGCAGATTTTGTGATGGATTTGATTTGGTACTGGAAGGAGAGGGTGGAGTCAAAAATGACACCCAGGTTGCGGACGATGATGAGGGCGGTCTCTGTGCTGTGTTCTGAAACCGGATTGAAGGGGTTCATAGAGCTCATGGCTAGACATGTGCAGATGGAGTTGGGCGGCAACTGCACCTTCCAGGATTTTGCTGAGGAAAGGAAGGTTGGAGATCGGCCGGTATTTATTGAGGTCATCCGGGTTGAGACCAGGCTTTTTGAGGACGGGAGTAACTGAGGCCATTTTGAAGCTTAAGGGTACAATGCCAGATTCCAAGGAGGAGTTGATGATATCCACCATGATGGGGCAGATGGTAGGTAGACATGCCTTGACCAAGGCTGTGGGCATGGGGTCCAGAGAACAGGTGGATGCCTTGGCCTTGGTGACCAGCTTAGTTACCAGCTTAGTTGTACCCTCCAGGACCACAGGAGGCTCAGCAGGAGGAGTCACAGGAGCTGGTGGAGGAGGAGTTAATTCTGACTCCTGATGAGGCTCCTGCTTTACCTCTTCAGCAACACAGTTTGGCTCCTTTGTAGAAATCTGTGGCTGAAACAGCTCACAGATGTTCCTTGTAGCGATGGTGGTGATGGACTTTATCAGATCTGCTGCAAAGCAGCTGATCTTCTCCATCAGGACGGGGCGAGGGAAGCTCTGTGTCACACTGTCCAGGATTGACAGGACCAGTTTGTCCCTGGTGGAGCGGGTGAAGCTGACTTCACGGAGCAGTGAGGGCAGAAGTTTGGAGACCTTGTCCTCCACTGCTTTGGTCAGGCTAACAGCCAGAACACTGAGGTGCTGGGATGGCATGTTCATGCCGGTGCCTTCAGGAGGCAGCCAGAAGCCCTGAAGCACCTTAGGAACCACCTCCAGCACCACCTCTCGTGGGCCCAGATGTTTGGAGGTGAGGGGCTGCTGATGCCGCTCCTTCAGGATGCTGGAGAATTTCTCAGCCAAACTGAGGATCCCGGGATTACTGTAGGTTTCAGTCATTGAAAATTTGTGTTAACACCACTTCACAACAGCACAGACAAAAAACAACCACTGCAGAGCAACCAAATGAAAAGTATTGGAGGAGCGATGTATAAACACACACACACACACACACACACACACACACACACACACACACACACACACAAGGTGATAAATGTTTGAAATGTGTCTCAACTCACCTGAACCTTGGAGGTATGGTCTTTGGGGACTTGAGGAACTGTCGTGCCTCGAACTCAATGTCCCTCTTCTTCAAATTGTTGCTCACCTCCCAGACCTGAAACAAGGAATGCGGATGTGAGGAGACGATTGGACCAATTTATAGAAGAAATCAAGAGTCATGTAACAATTGAAGCCAAACTCCTGAGACGTCTTCTCAGGACTGTGGACTCACCAGATTGAACAGTTTGAGCAGTGGGAGGWACTCAGGGTCTTTGTAGTCCTCCAGCTGGAACTCCCAGAACCTTCACACAGAAAGAAAACACAAGCTTCATCATTACKGCTCCTCTTCCTCATGGTGTGACATGAGCAGAGTTGAGGCCAGATGTAGTACTGGAATGTGTGTGTGTTAATAACTTACTGCACTCTCAGAGACTTCTTGCTCTCCTCCTCGATCAGGTTCATCATGTCTTCACCAGACACTGATGASGGGAGCTGATTGTTCTCCTGAAGTCTCAGCAGCTSAGTCATAACTGCAGTCTACACAACAGACAATAGGTCAAACATCTTACATGTAAATCTTTGTCTTTATGTATAAATAAAGGACACTGTTCATTTTGATGCAGACTGGAAACTACAGTGGGTCTTACTCACCTGTCCCGTGTAGGAGATGGTGTGCCAGCAGCACTGCTGAGACGTCTCATAACATGGCGTTTGAAACAATTCCTGTCATGAAATGAGAGAATGTCATTCTACACTTTAATATCCCATCATCACCTCTTCTCCCAGCCCCTTGTGTTCCAGGGTTATCTTGCCCCTTGAAACAGAGTTAAGTTCAGTAACAGGAAATTATACATGCTTGTAAAAATTACGATAATATTCGTAATATCTTAGTTTAATATCGTTTCAATGTATTATGGTCTTTTTTCCCCCAAAACAACCTGAGGAAAATCGCTAGCATGCTAACGCTAACGGTTGTAGTAGCTAGCGTTAGCATCGCTAAATTAGACTCTCTTAAACAAAACGCTAGCATGCTAACGCCAGCGATATTTTAAAGGTTGTTGTTGAAAAAAGGAGGGGAAGGGCTAAGAGCTGAAATGTGTTTGAATCTAGAGTTTAAACTACATTTAAAATGTTTCCAGTCCAACTCCAGCAGGAAACTGTGTTCGCACATACCTCGATGGGCTTGTAGATTCCGGTAGTGGCCTTGGATTTCTCCATTGTTGTCTTCAAGTTGTACGTGACACTATTCGACAAAGCGCTGGACGGTGAATGTAAAAGGTCACGATGCAGAGAGTTGCTCGATGTAGAGATGATCCGGACACAAGTGGTCGTTGGAAGATCAGGACGAAAACTGACAGAGCAGAGGTCAGTATTGATTTGATTCTGCAGAGATCACAGGCACTGTTGCCATGACAACACACCAAATATTGATGTTTGAATTTTGATTGACACCTATCAATGAACGTCCATCTTCAGAATGATATAGTTATGTGTTGTGGAGTTAAAGATAGTGTAACAGACTGGTAGTGAATGTTAATGTTGACTGTTATAATGTGTTGACGGTTTAGTAATAGAGTTCAGCCTAGTTAGAAAGATGAAAGTTTGAATAAACGACTTTTACAGAATGTCATTGAACAGGTCAGTGTTTGGGCACGTGTCACTGTCGTCAGCTCCAGCAACCAATGGCTGTGGGTTGGGAGGGACTGTGTGCTTCTCATTGGCTGGGAGACAGGGCTTCGTCCTCAGGTTAGTGTGAGGCCGGGGGGAGAAGGTGGGTTGAGAGGTGTGAGGACAGGAGCCAGAGGGAAGCAGCCACCATTCAATTCAAGTAGCTGTATTGCACATGAATGAGTATTACACACACAGCAGTGATTATGGCCAGTATGATAAATAAATACTGCAAAGTGGATGGATGAGTATTGAACATTATTGCACAGTCATGATCAATTGCAGGGTATGTGTAGTATATGTTTATTGCAAAGTCATGATTATTGCACAGTCCGTGATTATTGCACAATAATGCCCAGTACATGGTTATTGCACAGTATATGATTTATAAATATTTATTGCACAGTGGGTGGGGATAAAGTCTGTGAGGGTTATTATTATTATTATGTGTGATAAAGATGCTCTAATATTATTTTAGACACAAGTCTGTAAAACAATTGATTGAGCCCACAGCAATAGTTTACTTCAAAATTCAAAATTGCAGAAAAACATGGATTTAACGTTATAGGCTGACAGCTTTCGTGGCAATGTTACAAAGTGCTTAAAAGAAAGATAATTTGGAAATTAAAGGAATGTCAATTAAAACAAGAGAAAGATAATTTGTTTATTTTACAAGGGAGGATAAAGTTACTCTCAAAAATAAGACACAACATGTAAAAACAGCCCTTTAAGTTGTGATAAAACAGTTTTAAGAAGAGACTTTGAAGAAGGTTCCCTCAAGACTTATTCTACTCAAGTCTTCCGCTGTGTCCACATGCAGGGATGCTCTGACATCAGACTTAATCCTCTTCTGTGCTGAGAGTCCTGTCCTGTAGCATTCTGAAATTGTCTCTTTAGCACTTTTACTTTTGTTACTTAGTAGATGCTGATCAAGGCTGGGGATCACCACTGATTTCCCAAATCGATCACAAGATCTCGATTTGATTGGATTTTCGATTTGATTTCCAATTCAATATCGATTAGGGATATTTCAGTGTACAATACCAATTTTGCTTGGATAGGAAAGAAATTGTCAGAAAACCAAAGGTGTAAACTATGCAAGGAAACCTCTAACTTGGTGCATTATTGAAAAATATTAAGGTAAGCCTGTCATGAATTTGGATGACATATTGTCCCAGAAATGAATGTGATAAATGATAATGAAAAACAATATCATACCACTGAAATAATGATAATATTATAGCATAATCCTGCAAGTACAACCTGTAAAAGAGCAATGAACTTTAAATTTTTAAGATTATTCAGTCAGACATATGAATTATAATTTGAAATAATATAATTTTCTCAATAAATAACACATAAATCGAATAAACCTCGCATAACAAAAACAATAAATAAAATGGACTCTGGCCCTGTTAGCAAAAATTGATCTTGAATAAAAGGCTCAGGATGGTTATGATTTTGATGATGGCTGATGGATCACGTATTCAGTTATTAATCGATGGTGTCTGTTTAATTAATGTTGATGACTCATATTTCATGTGTGTCTGAGGAGCATGGGAGCACACACACAAAAAGTTCTCATCTGCTCACATATTTGCAAGTTGCACTAGTTATAACATTGAGTTGCACTGTCTCCAAAAATGGTTGCAGTCTGGAGTCTGCAGTCATTTTTCAGCCTCCCTCTATGGACAGTGACAGTATAGGAGCTGTATGTTGAGCTCTATGCTGCTATTCCAGTCTATGAGCCAGAGGAGGCGACTCGGTGGCCCCTGTAAAACTCCACTAATCTGCTGCTGGACATCTGCTGGATTCCCAGAGATTACACAGCCAGCATCAGAACAGGAGGACAGGGCCCCTGTGTAAACCTGTAATACAGGTTTTAAATTAAGCAGCGGCCTCTGCTTGTCATGTTTTTCAGGATCACAGTCAGTCATATCTGGTCTAGTGTGATTCATGCATGTATGATGTGGAGTTGCAAGCTATGTGTCTTGTTCAGCCACACTCCAGTGGTGTTATTGCAGTGGAATGGGAAAGGAAGTGATGTATTATAGTTAGAAAACATCATAATGAGATATCATATGACACACGAGACAGTATGTACCTGCTAATTCAACAAATGCCTGTTCATCGGGCTGTATGTTGAAAGCATCCTGAAACTGTTCATCTTGTTACTCTAACACACTCACATGTGTATTTTTATAGCTCAGGGATGTGCAGTGCTGAGTTTGGTACAATTTGGACAAGCAATATTTATAAAAATCTAATAAATAGGTGACCAGTCATTGGAAGTGGGGCAGTGTACTAAATGTCAGTATGGGACCGAGTTGAATATTTTTTCTTCTACATCCTCGGATAAACTACAGCAGCAGCTGGCAACTGCATCAACACCACCGCCAGAACATTTTTTGTTATTGTTTTGTTGGTGCAATGCCTCATATTGAGCTGAATTATAGAGCTTTTATTTTGAAAAGCTGTGGACTTGTGTCTGAAGATTCTATCGATGCTCAGCAGACCTCTGAAATAAACACATGGCACCAGCAGTCACAAACCTCTACTGTGACCTGCTGGCCCAGTTTTCCTGCAGCTCTCTCGTAAACTCTGCCAATATTTAACCAGACAATCATCAGCTCATATTTCTTAGACAAAGCAGAGGAGGAAAAAATAGACTTGATTAATTTTGCCTTCCACGAAACCTGTAGGTAGCGGCAAACTCGTTGGCTGCATGAGTCCACGGCCTAAGCCCCAGATGCTTGTGGGATCTTGAATGTGGGATTCCCGCCAAACATGGCAAAGACCCGACTTAGGTCACACAATAGCACGCGTAACCCGGCTATATTTGAGAGGCCAGGTGCCGCCCCACACGCCCTCTCTCACTTTGTTTCTGCAGTCAGGAAACCTACATACAAAACACTAGAACAGACTCTTCCATCAGAGAGTGCTGCTGACATACCTCACAGGTGAGAATTTGTTGTTTTTTCTGCAAAGATATTCAGATATTTGATTGAACAGATACATTTGGGCTGGATGCTTGTGTCAGAGTGAGAGTTAATGGCAGAGGGTGGTGGTCAGTTGAGTTCATTCATTTTGAAGGAATTTGCTTTTTTTTTCTGTCTGCAAACAGAAACTTAAAACACTTGGAGGTGTGGAAGCTCATGTTACTTGTTTTGTTACTATCCATCATCCTTGGTTTTTGTTTTTTCTTGGTTCTGTTTTTATTGAATAGGGAATATGTTTAAAATATTTACATTTACTAGGTTTTTACTTTATTTTATGAGTATAAAAAAAATTTTTTTAATTTGGCATTGATTTTAGGAAAAACTGGATATTTAAAGCCGAGAAAAGGTGAATTGAAATGCACTTGATTAGTGGAAACTTTTCTTTTTTTTCTTGAGTTGTCATGCTTTCTCCTGGACAAATATAACATACTGGCATGCTTGCTTGACCTGTTGTGCAATAACTACACAATGAAGAACATAATTTGTGCACCCCTCTTGTACCTTCTACTGTTTCAGCTGCATGCAAAATGATTTATAGTCAAAAAGCTGAAAAAGGCCTAACCACCAGTCTTTCTTGGAAATTCTAAACAAAATCAAGAATTTGCGAAGTAGACTTTAATCAAGTTATGTATGAGCTGGAATCATGTGTTTACTTCTTGCAGAATGATGAACACGTCTGAAGAATATGGTGAAGAGGAGCTCAATGACTACATCGTCCAGCTGAGTATTCAAGACTCCTGCCAGGATGCCTTCCTGAAATCTGCTGCCAGGTATGGAAGCTACATCCAAACCCCCACACTGCTTAAAAACAACAAAACAAACAAACTCTGCTGACTGTCTTGTGCTTCGTCTGCTGTTAGTTTAGCAGCGGCGACAGATGAAAATCTGAGAGTCCTGGCTGCTATCGAGCAAGGTATGCCACACTCACAAAACATTCAGCATCATGACAGATACATTTGTCCTGTTGGCTCTCAGAGGCTGAAGAGAGAGGTGCATTATGAAAGAATGTGAAAAGTTTGACACAATTTCCTGTATAGTTCCTTTGAACAGTGCGGTTGAATGAGTCTGTTGCTTAAGTTTGAGAAGGGGGTTAGCAGCATTCTCCACGATTGCCAGGAGTTTTTCCAGCATTCTGTCCTCGGCCACCTCCTCCAGAGGGACAAGCTTAGAGCTGACAACAGACTCTCAGTCTTGTAAAACATCTGAAGCATTTTATAGCAGACATTGAAGGACCTAGAGCTGGCTCAAGCCTTGGACCATTCCGTGTATTATCCAGTTGTAACTTAATTACTGTTCAACATATCTGGAAGTTTCTTTTTCTTACTCAATCTTCTCTCCCCGGAAATCCCTGTGATATTTTCTCATTGCTGTGGAAACCAGGTGAGGTGTCGGTGCTGAGGGAGATGCTGAGGCACACCTCCGCCTTCAGTGAACCAGACTGTCACGGCTGGCTTCCCCTCCACAGAGCTGCATCCCAGCCGGTTCTGGGGGTTCTGGAGACAGTCCTGACATGTAAGTACATTTGTTCAGAAGAAGCTCAGATTTGATTCATTTGTTGGGCCATTTTAATAATTTCTAAAAGTAACAGTACAATTTTAAAATGTAGAAAATACTTCTTTGTATTGCCTAAACAGTTGTTAGCTCTGTTGGCACAGAGTCGTCTGACCAATCATGTGCCTTTGACCTGAACTGTAGCTTCATCACATACCTGGATTAGCTGCAGTTCAGCTGAACCTGTGATCATTGTGTCAGAGAACTGACATCCAAGCAGCTCTAAGGGGCCAGTAGACCTCCTCTGAACTGCCTGTCAGATGGCTGAATAACTTAAATGTGAGAATAACAGTGTTATTGTTGTGACATCTTCAGGCTATAAAAAATGGAGAGCAACAGAAAATTGCTGTGCACCTCCGCCAAAGAGGGTTCTTTATAGAAGAGGAGGACTTTTCCCCTCCAGATTCCCCTGAGGTTGGCATTGTTTGGTGGAGGACCATGGTGGTCCCAAGTCACATCAGTTAGACCTATTAGTCACCTCAGTTACACCTGAAGCTCTCTGAGCCAAGGGAATGCAAGTGCAAGAGAGGTTGAGGGCAGAAAGGTACGTAACGTTACTCAGAAGGATCGTCTAGAAACACCAATTCCCTAGTCAGATAATGAACAAGCCCACATTAAGTGAGAGGCCGTAAAATCTCAGGAACAGTTAACTCATCATCGCAAGATCCAAGACTGTTTGAAACATGTGGCATTTTGAACCATGATTGCCTTTTTAAAAACAACTGTTTTAGTAAAAAGTGTTTAAACCATCATTGATGTGTTTGATCTCAGTACATTAATATTATTTAGTTATTTATTTTTCACCTCAAGAACACTTCAACCAGATTTAACCAAAATTATATGGGTTCTTTCCTGGGCTTTCTCCCATCCCACCACCAAGTTTGATGCAAATGGCTTCAGTACCTTTTGTGTTTACAAACAGACAGGGGTGAGAACATGACCTCCTTGGCAGAAGTAAAGATGACAAGCATTGATAAAATACAGGTCACATCAGGTTAAATGCAGCTGAGACCACTGGCATCATCAAGACAATGGCTGCCCGGAATAACCCACAGAATGCTTCAGTGAGAAACAATGCAGGCGTTCAGCAGATGACAGCTGATCAACAGTCCTACTGGTCAAAAATAACCTGTGATGTCACTTCCACTCCCTTACCCTGGAGGTCAGACAGCAGTGATGTGTCCACAGCTCACTGGCTCACCTGCCAGGTTAACACAGCTGTCAGTCTGACAGCAACACCGGGAATGTACACGTTCATCTCCCCTGTCTGCTGTGTTGAGATTCATATTTTATTGAACTTAATCCCTTTCTCACACCTCCAACACCCTGCATCATCCCACTCTGACACCTGGGTGGGGTCTAATTAAATCTATTTTGAATTAAATTTTAATCAATTTCAATTCCCTCAACATTTTATTTCAAATTCCTAAGAATTAAGCCCCATTCCCCTTCTTCAAACCCAACATTGTGGTGACGTCCCACACCAACCTGAGAGAAGATTCATCCCCATCAGAAGTAGGTAGCAGCATAGAGTAGTAGGCTGTGATGTTGTGAGATTGTGTTGTATTTCTGTTGCAGATGTGTTGTTTTTATGTTGTGATATGACTTTTTTATTTGTGTTGTGGCAGCTCAGGTGCTCAGCCTGGAGGAGAGAACTGCTGTTGGCGGAGAGACACCACTGACGCTGGCAGTTAAAGCCGGACTGGTGCAGAATGTGAAGTGTCTGCTGGAGCACGGATCCTCGCCTCACAACACCAACAACAAGAATGAGTCACCACTGCTGCTGGGTAATACCGCAGAGCAGTAATGCTCATTACAAATAAAAGAACAACAACAAAATTAATTTAGTTCAGAGGTCAACAAGAATTTCACATTAAAAGTGCAACTTCAAATTAAAACTAAGAGTTAAGAGGAAGTGAAAGGTTCTAAAGAGCTGCAGGGTTGGAGACAATTCTCTGAAGGTCGATCACATGATAATTTAACATAGACTTCTCCACAAAACACTGCTGATTAACACAACTTGTCACCTTACAGCGGTGAGGGTCGGCTCATATGAGATGACGTACACTCTGGTGGCTCATGGTGCATGGGTGGAGCAGGTTTGCCGGAAGAAGTGGACGGCCGTGCATGAGGCGGCCAAAGTCGCCAACCCTGACATCCTGATGCTGCTGCTGAGGAACGGCGGGCGGGTTAACGAGAAAGACGCGTCGGGGGTGACACCGCTCGCTGTGGCAGCAGAGCACGGACATTTCCACATCACTGAAATTTTGCTGAACTGCGGTCAGTGTAATGAGAGTTTTAACTGCTGTTTTAGTTACAGTGAATGAAGAAATATAGAACTCAAAACGTGAATTCTTTGAGTCTCGCTATGCCAATTATTATAATATTGAAATCTACCTACTACTTCCATAAATTCCTGTCTGTCTATATCTAGTAGTTCTACTGTATCTTCACTCTGCACCACAGACTGTTTATAAAAAGACACACGTCCAGCACACAAACAACAAAACATGAGAGTATATTATATAGGACTGACGAGGACTCAATAATGGCCGATGGAATAATTCAGAAGTAGCTCTGGAAAGATAGCACAGGCCCAGAGAACAGCCGATTCCAAACAGGCATAGAATGGTCACTACACCAATATATTAAAAGTGAAACATTTGCTTGATAAATGTCTTTGTATTAAAGCATATAACTCATTTTACAGAGTTTTGCCAAATATTTATCAACTTCCTCTCTATAACCCTGTCTGCAGTTTTAAAAATGTCCAGTCTTGTTTAATCTGGCTTCCCTGTTCAGGCAGCAGAGTGAACTCTCAGGCCTTAAATGGGGAAAGTGTCCTGTTGGATGCAGCCGGATCAGGAAACACTGCCTGCATTCAGTTGCTGCTGGACAACGGAGCCAACCCCAACTTGTCCAGCATCACCGGACACCTGCCCATCCACAAGGCAGCATACGCGGGACACTATGAGTGAGCTTCTTCAGTCAAACTTTGTCCTTGGGCTATAGGAACACATTAGGATGAAGGGGACACAAGTTGGGCTTAAATTGTTGGTAATACTATGAAGTCGCAGAGGGAAATTCTTCTGCAGATCTTAACAATATACATTACATTTTTATTTATTTGACAGATGCTTTCATCCAAAGCGACTCACAACTGGGGACAACACATTTTCAAAAGTGATAAATCTGTTCAATAAGATTAAGTGTAGTAGATCAGGTAAAGAAGTGCACTAAAAGAAGTGTTGGTTAGACATGTTAAGGTGTTTTAGGGGAGGAGGCGTTCTCTGAAGAGCTGAATCTTCAAGAGCTTCTTAAAGGTGGAGTGGGACGCTTTGATGATCCTACTCATGGAGGACTTTTTCCATTAAACTCTTCCATTTTAATGCTGTCCGAGTCAGACCTTTTAATTCTCTAATTGCTTAATTCACCTAGTGTTTATTTCTCATATAGTGCTCTGAAGATGCTGATACCTCTGACCACTAAGAAAGCCATCAAGGAAGCAGGCCAGAGCCCAGTCCACTCAGCAGCGGAGGGAGGCCATAGACACTGCCTGCAGCTCCTGCTGTCCTGCGGCTTCGATGTCAACTACCGCATGAGCACCAGAAACTCAGAAAACTACCGGGACATGAGGAGGAGTGCCTTGTACTTTGCTGTTTCAAACGGGGATGTTGACTCCACCAAAGTCCTTCTGGTGGCTGGAGCAAAGACGGACCTGGACCCGCTGTGCTGCCTCCTGGTGGCAGTCAGGTCTGGGCGCTGTGAGATTGTCAAGCTGCTGCTGGCAGCTAAGGCAGATGTGAACTGCTACTTCACAGTGGTGAGCGACACAGTGTTTCCTACGGCATTGCAGTACTGCCTGAAAGATGAGGTGATGATGAGGATGCTGCTCAACAATGGTTACAAGGTGGAGAAATGCTTTCACTGTCACCACGACACACGTTTCAAGGCTACTGACGATGTGGATGGGAAAATACCAGTGAGTGTAAGACCTGTAGTTTGATATTTTGGGGAATACACTTACTTTCGGACGAGATTAATCTCATCATCATTAGCGGATTAGTTTAGTTTAGCACAAAGACTGGAAACAGTTAAAGAGCTAGTTTTGCCTCAACAAACAACAGCAAATATCAATGTGCTGATGAAGCTGATATGATATTTTACCAGAATCATGAAACAAAATTCATGTCTGACAGTACAGTCATAGTATACATGACGAGTATTAGGGTAGCCTAAACTAATAAAATGAGAATTAAGTTGTAATATTATGAGAATAAAGTTTCAATACAAAAAGGTCAAAAAGTTATTAGAATTAAGTCACAATTTTAGACTATGTGTCATTTTAGAGGGGGAATATCAGAAGATCATCCTGTTGCCTGTGTAACAATAAAGTTTGTAATACTTTTGTATAAGTCTCACTTTATCTTTTGGCTCATCTGTACTGCTTAATCCTAATCATTGCTTCTTGTGGAAAAGGAAATGTTCTAATCTAATCTAAATCTAATGATATTTAAGGGTGTTTTATAGTTGAGGAAATAGGAAACAATGAAATTCAAATTTTACTTCCAGAAGGAGTTGAACTCCAGTGGTTGTCCTTGCATTGGTTATCCTACATTATTCTTCTAATATTACAACTTTATTCTCAAAATCTCACTTTTTTCTTCATTCGGCCCTAGTCTAGTATTCAGTCACAGCTACAGTGTAGGCTTATCATTTGTCACCAAATCAACCAAGGCTGAAAATTACACAATGTTTAATTGCAACAAAATTGACGTTCTTGTGATTTTTACACAGTTTTTCATCCCTGTACTTAATAAAATTGTAAACTAGATGTACAAAGACTAGACTAAACTATACTTTTAATTGAGAAAATAACTGAATGCAAACAACTAAAATTAGAATCCTTTTTGTTTTTCTCCAGTTCTGTGAGTTCATGAGTCTCTGCTGTCTCATGCATCTGTCAGGGAGTGTGGTCCGGATTCTGCTTGACTACATCAGCCACGTCCACATCTGCTCCAAGCTCAGACTCATCCTGGAGAAACAGAGGGAGTGGCCCGAAATATGTGAAATCCTCAGTGAGTTCATTCATGATTCTATCACATGAAGTATCATGAAATGTAGGAAAAACAAGCAGACGCTGCATCACACTGTAAAAAACAACTTAATCAATCCTGATCCTCAGAGGATGAACTCTTCAGATTTTACTGCTAGCTTGCCACTCTGTACATTTTAGCAACACCACTGATCATATGATCAGTATGTTGCTTGCTCTCTCTAACACTTTGCTATTGAAGCTATAATGTACAATGCAACCTGTAGGGGGCACTAGCAGACCTGTAGGCCCCTGCACAAAGTAGTGATGTTCAGTGGTGGCTGGTGAGGGGGAGCAGTGTGGGACAAACAAACTGAAGCCAGACTCAACAAAAACAACACAACACAACACAACACAACACACAATATGCCAATCCTGTAGCCTTCATCGAGCTGCTGAGCAATGCTAAGCCTCCTGCAAAAAAGAAGCCTTATTGTGTCTAAGTGACTGTGGCAACTTTCATGCTGTTTGCTTTTTTCTTTTTTTTTCTCAGTACCTATGGAACAGCAAATAGGGGAAGCAATAAAATACATTACTTACACCACATCAGCTCTGTTTCTCACAACAAGAGCTCGTCCTTCACTTGTTGCTCAATCTGTAAATCGGGTCAGGATCTGCAAATTAGCTGTAAATAAAAGTTGGAGTGTCCGGGGCACAGAGAGCTGTGTACTGTGGAAAATCTGCACAAACCAATTAAAGAGCAGCCTCAGGTCCTGTGGTTGCAAAAAGTTTAAGGACCCATATTCACTGTTATTTAGCCGGCGCCCCACACCGAAAAGTGTATATATTAAGACAGAAATTAACCAAATACAATTTGAAAACTATTTATATTGAATGAATACAGGGGCTTACGGTCTACCAGGTGCATTGTATGAGTAAACTATTATTATCTAATTAAATTATATTTAAAGGTACAGTGTGTAGAATTTAGTGATATCAAGTGCTGAAGTTGCATGTTGCAGCTGAACACCCCTCACCTCACCCTGTCCTTCAAAATATGAAAAAGAAACCACACCTTTAATTGTCTCAAAAGGTGTTTAGTTTGTCCGGTCTAGAAGACTGTAAAAAACATGGCCCCCTCCTTAGAGAGGGTCCCCTCGATATAAATATAAAGTATTTAAATATAAAGGGCCTTTTCTGGGGTAAAGAAAACTACAATTCATACAATTTAGATGAAATGAACTAGTGAAAACATCATGAGGATTATTCTACATTAAATATCTGCCAATAGTTCCCTTTCACCTAAATCTTTCACACTGGACCTTTAACATTTTTAAATTGGCTTTTTTTTCTCAGGTGTTGGAGGGGCAGTGCCCTGTATTAACAAGCCACCAGTGGGGATGTTATCATTCTGTTTGATCATCTCACTTGTGTTTCATGACAGTGTGAATCAATAAAGTAACATGATTTTCTGAAACCTTGCTCTCCAGGCAGTCCTCGCGTCCTCAGGCACCTCTGCAGACTCGTGATTAGGAGGTGTTTGACCCTGAAGAGACTCAATAATCCTGAAATCATGAACTCACATGTTTTCCCTCCCAGACTGAAGAGCTTCATACTGTATCAGGAACTTGATCTCTACAACCAGGACCCTGAACACATCATATGAAGATCTGAGGATTTTCTGCTTATTTTCAGAGGATGTAATTATTTTTTAATCTCTGATTTGAAAAAAAACGATACCATATATGACGTTACACTTTGTATAATAGATTGTGAGTATTCTGACAGAATTATCTGTTATGTTTTTACAGAAAATTGAAATATATAATACAAGCTGGTGTTTGCTTTTTAAACATTCTGTGATGTGCTGCATGTGCCCATATTACTGATTTAAAATCGATTTGTGAAATGAAACTGATCAAAACATTGTCTCATAAGAGTTCCAGACAATGTGGATCATTTATCACCCTCCAGGGTATTTCACAATGTGTACGAGAGTCATATATTGGTAGTTTATTTTGCCTCAGTACCACAAACATTATCCCGCTGCCACAAATATTCACTGAATTTCGATTAATCCACCACTGAAAAATAGTCCCTGGTGAATATACAATTTCCTTATGTTTAAGTAACATTTGCAAATAAACTTCAGTGATCAGCTGTGTTATAAAACAACGCATATGTTTCCTTATTTTAATGAAACAATATATTTATGAGGTGTTTTTAAAGATTTAGTCATCATTAGAGCCCAGTGAGCCAGAACATCTTTTTAAGGAGGTCAGGAAGTTTTAAGAAACCAATTAAAACTTTGTTGGGATTCACTGACAGGAAGCGAGACATTGAATAACAACAGCCTTCAGAAGTTACGCTCTCACTTCATTAGCCATGTGTATGAATGTTTCCTTTAACAATGTAAGTTTATGTCAGTCTTTCTGTGTATGACCTGTCAGCTGCAATCTTTTTAGTTTCAGTGCTGATTGCTGCGTTGGTTGATTGCACTTCTCTCCCTCTAAGGTGCATACTGTATAATGAACACATAAAGGAAGTTCAGTGCTCATCAGCAATGATTATGGAAATCTGGAGCTTTTAAATCAGTGAAATTATTTCCCACCAGATAAGAAAAAAAACTTTGTGTATTTTTTATTATATAAAGTACTTTTTATGTAGTGCTGCTCCGAAATTTTAATTTATGACCCATTCTGTCAGTCAAGTCGTCAGGTCAGGCCTCTTCATTATTTCAACAGCTTCTCATCGACTTGTCTAACAGCATGTGGACTGATTTCTGTACTGAAAACATTGTTGTTATCAGATGAATTATAATTACACATTTAATATTCATACAACTGGTCGCCTCATTGTGTTTGTCATCGGTGGACAATGTAAGCAGAGTGACACAACTCTCTATTAGGGGCAATGGAATGGTCTGCATCTTAAATACACTGGAACAGGTGAGACCTATATATAGCATGGTGGTGGTGGTGTGTGTGTGTGTGTGTGTGTGAGTGTGGGGTTTAGGGGGCGAACTAAGTTAAGACATAAACATTGTGCTGCTGCTGCTGCTTTGTCCTCTAACTTCAACTCTCACATTTTTCACATAAGAATGACGAAATCATTTTTTTTTCATTCCGGGTGTATCTTATAGATTCGCCTTCACACGATGATGTAAAAGTCTTCAGAGTGTGGTCATTGAGGTGGCTGGGTCACCACTGTTGTGTCTGATTTGTTTTTTTCATGGAAGTACTATAGGCAGGGGGAATTTAGAGTGTGAGGATTTGTATGTAATGTTTGTATTTTAAAATGAAAATCTATAGTTTTTTTACTACCTGTTACTGAATAGAAAATCTGATGACCAAAAGATACGCAGACCACTGATGGTTGCCTTGTCAGCCACATAAACAAACCACTCCCTGACAGTTCAAACAACTAATAAATGGATTTAGATGGGAGATGACTCTGTTGCTGTATACATTCTGTTGTGTTTCTATTTAAATCTCATCCATGCTTTGTTTTAGAAAGCAAGTGTAGATTGATAACCTGGAAATGAGGGGATCTTTTGGTTTCCCTCTTCCAGAGGATTCCCCAAGCCACTTGTCACTGTCTAATCCTGCAGAGCCAATAGAAGCCTTTGATGTGGCTCTTCATTTTGTCATTTACACAGTCCTTCAAATCAGTCAAGCAAATTTTATTTGTATTGCCCATATTTAAAAATCATACTTTTCCTCATAGGACTTCACAAGGTGTGGCATCCTCTGTCCTAAGTCAACAAGAGCAAGAAACACTTCCAAAAAAAGCTCAGAATAAAATATCTCTGGACTTTTAGTTGAAGGTCAGATTCAGTTCTCTGCACTGATACATTTACCATGAATTTATTGCATTTCTTTCACGAGTTGTTGTTGAGACTTGGATCTATAAAAACTAATTTGGTCACACTGATGGGACATTAAGACCAGATCATGATGTAGATTATTTGTAAATGTGAACATGATTATAGGGCAGCTGATACATTTAGGATCTAGACTAAATGTAGTTTTAAACCCACTAAGGAAATCAAAGAGTAAACAGTACTGACTAGAATATAGGAGTGTTTACTTATTATCTCCTTTCTCCATCTCAGGCTTTGTTGTCTCTGCTGCTGCTGTATGTTAAAGATACAGTACATGTGTGTCCACACAAGAATCTGTCTTGCTCCACCAGATTATAATGGAAGGTCTTTATTTACCAGTCGCCATAGTGATGAATAGTATCTGAGCATTCATTTATGAGGTAGTAAATTGAGTTGACTGAAGTAGCTCAGATCAGCTGTTCTGGTGCTGAAAACCCAATTCGGTTTCACTAAGTCATCGTTCAGGGTTAAATTCAGTTTGTTAAACCTGCTGCGCTGAGACAGTCTCTTTAGTTAAAGCAAACATCCAAATCAATCAGTGCTCTCTTTTCTTCCACCATAAGAAAGATGAGGATTATAACTGCAGTCTGTCCTATTTTGATTTGATGTTGTTGTGTCCTGGTGTAAACAACAGTCCTCATCAGCACCTGGCCTGCTGCACTGTACCTAATCCCATCATCCTCTGGGAGAACAAGGGTTTCCCTGACAACACCACAACCGTGTTTTGTGCCCTGACATGTTACATAAAGCCCCACAGCTTCATCTCCGATGTCTCCCCGCAGAGTTTTGCTCCTTTCATTTCCTTGGTGTATGAGTCACTGATGAGCTCTCAGTGCAGGCCACGCATAGGCCTCACATTCCTGCAGTAAGCCTATCTCATCACCCCCCAACCACACACACACACAC